CCCCAAAACCCCAAAACCCCAAAACCCCAAAACCCCAAAACCCCAAAACCCCTTTATATGCCTTTTTTAGAATATATTTTCAAATAAATTAATATATGGGAAATAAAGTCGAACCTGTACGCCAAGAAGGAGACAAGAAAAACTCCAAAAATACTAAGGATGATGACATCGTTGCTGAAGTAGATGACGATCTTGAAAATGGTCCCGTCTTCAAGAGAAAATGCACAGATATTATCTGCTGTCCAATCTTTGTTGCATTCATTGTTGGGATGGCTTGGGCATTTATTTATGGACTAAGTGAAGGAGATCCAATTAAACTAACGGTTATGTTTGATTACGATGGACATGGATGAGGATACACGTCCGGTTATAAGAACTTTGATTACATCTATTGGCCTGATATCGACACCTCCGCTACAAGTTTTTCTACTCTACTTCAAAAAACTATTTGTGTCAAAAGATGTCCCACCATTGCAAATCCACTTGCATCAGGAGATTGTACTGATACATCTATCGCATCTCCTTGCGAAAGTTCTGGAACAGCTTATGATTCAAAATTATATTTGAATAGATTCTGCGTCCCAGACACTAGCTCTACCTCAGCCACTTCCACTTATCAAAGCTTCTACGATTCAGTTATGGATGACTGGGGAGGCAATTATCTTACTTCGTATATGGCTGATCTGTACACTGTATGGTGGGTCTGTCTTGTATGTGCTGGTCTTTCCTTTTTGCTAGGTTTTATCTACATGTGCTTCATTAAATGATGTGCTAAGATATTGGTCTGGATCACAATCTTCCTCGGCTTCTTTATTATTTTAGGAGCTGGTCTCTTCCTGTACTTTACATCCACTCAATATGAAGAAGGAGACGATACTAGAAATTATATGAGATATACAGCTTACGGTTTCTTTGGACTTTGTGCTGTTTATGCTTTGATCCTTCTATGCTGCTGCAATAAGATTAGACTTGGGGTTGCTATCATGCAGACAACTGCTGACTATATCAACTCTACCACAAGAATTTTCTGGGTGCCAGTTTTCTTTTTTGTTTGAATTCTTTGATTTCTGGCCTACTGGATCGTTTCAGCTTTATTTATCTGGAGTGTTGGTGATGTTAAAGCAAGATCAAGTTCACCTTTCGCAAGAATTGAGTGGAATGAAACGACTAGATATGTATTCTTATACAATCTGTTCGGTCTCTTCTGGATCAACGCATTCTTCATTGGATGCTCTCAATTCATCCTTGCTGTTGCTTGTGCCACTTGGTATTTCACCAATACTGCCGATTCAGGAGGAAGTGCTTCAATAAATAAAGGATTTAAATGGATTCTTAGATATCATCTCGGATCAATAGCATTCGGTTCACTCATTATTGCTATATGAGAATTCATCAAATTCATGTTTGAGTACTATAGAAAGAAGATGACTGGTAGAGTATTCAACAATCCTCTTGGTAAATGCTTGATCTGGACTACGAGATATTGCTTAAATTGTCTCAACAGAGTTGTAAAATATATTTCTAAGATGGCATATATTCAAATTGCCTTAACTAGTTCAAACTTCTGCATGTCTGCATGGAAAGCTTTCATTCTCATCTTGGGTAATGCTGGGAGATTTGCAGTAGCGACAATACTGGGAACCATATTTACTTGGCTTGGAAAAATAGCCATTGTTGGACTAACAACTCTAATTTGCTACATTATCATAACAAATGCTAGCAATATCAAGGATGATATTACAAGTCCATTCTTCCCAATTTTAGCTTTTATAATTATCAGTTATGTCATCTCATCATTCTTCCTGAGTATATTCAGCTTCTCGATGGATGTCATTCTGCAGTGCTTCTTGGTTGATGAAACTTTAGCTAAGGATAGCCAGTATGGACCACATAGACCAAAGACATTGGATGCTTATGCTCAAAAGAAGATGCAGCCAAGCAAATGCTGTGGTTGCTGCTAATGACAGTTTCAATTTCATAATTACTCAACAATAATTTATTTATTCGGGGTTTTGGGGTTTTGGGGTTTTGGGGTTTTGGGGTTTTGGGG